TTTGTAAAGCACTGGGCAAACCCAAAGACACACACACACACACACACACACACACACACACACACACACACACACACACACACAAATTCTATTCTTGTCATGTTGATTATAAACAGCTGTAAATGTAGCAAGTGATGTATGGCCCATTAGGCTACCCACTTACCTACATTTCCTTCCCAGATTCAGTAGTTTCAATGTCTTCTGCTTTACTCATTAGCTTAGAAAGATCTGTGATCTTGTCAGTATCTCCCCACCAATCAACCAATCAACAAGCATTAATTAAGTGTCTACTATGTGCCATACACTGTTCCAAGATGGGGCTGCAAAGAAAATGATAGAATAGTCTATGCCTTTAAATTCCATAGTGATTTCAACAGTGATGTAAAATTTTTAAAAAATCAATAAAACATCAAAAATGTTTCACATACAGAAGGAAAGAAATTGCAATAAATACTAGTATTTCTATAGAATTTTAAAGTTTGCAAAGTCCCTTATGTATGTTATCTCATTTGATCCTTACAGCAATCTTATGATGTAGGTGGTTTTTTATGGGATTATTATCCCATTTTACAGATGAAGAAACTAAGGCAAGGATATATTAAGTTTCTTGCCCAGGGTCACATAGCTAGTAATTGTCTGAGATTGGATTTGAACTCAGGTCATATTTGCTCTAAGTCCAGCATTCTATGCACTGTGCTACCTAGCAGACATGATTTTTTATCTGTCTTTCGTTAATTTTCCCTAGACTAGAATAGATATTGAATATTCTGAAGGCCGTTCTGTTATATTGCATCAATAGTAATAACAGTCATCAGGCTGTCCAAGAATCCATTGCTGTTGCTCTATGACTGTCCCCTCTTCCTTTTTCAGTCACACGTTCCCTTGATGCTCTTTATACACCTTTGTTTGATAAGTCATGGTAGGTAATATGCTTTGTATAGTCAACTTATACCTACCATATGTCTCTTCATTTCCCTGTGGGTTACTTGCAAATGTGATTCTTTCGTGGTCCTTGGATTCTGTTATTTAAAGCTACATAACATCACTGGTAGAATATTGGTGTTTAAAAAAAGATGGGCTTTTGTAGCAGGGAGCAGAGTGGAATCATTGGATTTGACCAATTTTTGATATACCTTGATGATAATCTCAATCTTTGGATACTACCATTTTCGATCTGATTTTGATTAACAGGGAGAAACCGTTGCTAAAGAAGAAATGATGACAGCCTCAGAGAACTTCATCTTAACATTTGTGATAAAGAAAGAGAAACAAACTGAGTTTGGTCTGATGCACACCCTAGGTTTGGGGAGAGCAGACTGCAAAGAATTCAGATAAAAATTAGGTAGGCTCCCACAGCTAAAATTCTACAGGGTGAAATTCATGGACCCAGGAGGGCTGGGAAACTCTCAAGAGTGACATTCTGGATATACAAATGATTTGAATAAGGAAAAAAAAGAGGAATCTGTTTAAAGAGGGTGATGTTGATTTATTGAGAGCTCATCAACCACTTTGGATAAAGGGTGGAGGAAGCACAGCACATTGAAGATGATAGCTAGGCCAATATAATTATGTACAAAATAATTATGTACTCTTGTAAAGCTCAAGATGAACTGAGGCCATTGATTAATTCTCAAAACAACAAAAATGGCATTAGAAATCTATATTGGGGGAGGTAAAAGAAAAATCAAGGAAGGAGTGGGATCACTACTTGTATAAGTGGGACACTAATAGTGAGTGACAGAGACAGAACTACTCGGCTCTTATTTGTTGTTATGTCTAGCAGGGGTAGGGTATCCTACTACTGTTTCTCTGAGGATTTTTCTCTTGCCCTTGGCTATTTCAGATTTTCCTTATTGTCTTGAATTGAAGCATAGATGTCATGCTTATCAAAGTTAGCACTTTGGATAACAGAGCAATTATCCAAAAAGATATTTCCAGGCTAGACTGATGTATTGAATCTAATAAGATTTAAATCTAATAGAAACAAATGTAAAGTTCCATGCTTGGAGTTAGAAACATCAGCTGCACAAGTACAAGATGGGAGAAGAGTAGCTACAAATCAGTTTGTACATGAAATATCTGTGGGTTTTTAGTGATACACTGTAGTCCAATATTAAGCCACTTTAAATGAACACCACAATGTAGAACTTAGGCTTGTTAGGACTACATTCGGGTCATTGTAACTCTGTTCTGGGTGCTGCATTTTAAGAAGGACATTGCTAAGCTGGTGTATATGCAGAAGAGGAGGTGAGGAGACTGGAGACCACCCAATATGAGGATTTGTTGTAGGAATTGAGAGTGTTTAGCTTAAAGAAGATGGAGAGGGACATCCTAGCTGTCTTCAAGTATTTCAGTCAATTAATAAACATTTATTAAGCACCTATTGTATACCAGGCACTGTGCTAAGTGCTGAGGATAAAAAAAAAAAAGAGGGAAAAGACAGTCTCTTCCCTCAAGGAACTTACAATTTCATGGCGAAGACATCATGTAAACAAATATACGTATATATTTGAAATATATTTGAAAAGTTGTCATGTGAAAGAGGTTGGATTTGTTCTGCTTGATCACAGAAGGCTAAGAATAAGAGCTAGAAGTGGTAGAGATGGGCTCAGCATCAGGAAAAATTTCCTAAAAATCAGACATGTCCAAAAGTGTAATGGGCTGCCTTGGGGAGCTAGTGGCTTCCTCCCCATTGGAGGTGTTACTGGATGCACAATTTGTGGAGATGTTGGAGAGGGTATTTTTGTATTGGTTCCAGTTGGATCAGATAGTCTCTGTGGTCCGCAATTTTGATTCTGTAGACTTCCATCTGGGGCCCCTTTGGATCTCCATTCAGCCCCATTTTCTCCCAAAAGATTTGTCTTTTGGGAGGTGATGCTGATTGATGTTTATTGCTGTGTCTATCCTTATAACTCTGGCTAACTTCAGGAAGTTGTTGGGTTTTTTTTAGTCATGTTCTTTCAATCTGGCCCAGATAAATTATATCCCAAAGTACTAAAAGACAGGCAGGAAACAAGCATTAATTAAGCACTTGCTGTGTGATAGTCATCATGCTGAGTGCTGAGGATACAAATACAAGCAACAAGAGAAATAGTCCCTGCCCTCAAGGAATTTATATTTGAATGGGGGAGATGACATACCAGTGGGAACTGAAAATCAGTGGTAGGGCAGAGGAGGGGCAAGTAGCAGTACAGGGGAGAGAAGGTACTCATGGTGGCGAAGTCCCAAGAGTCAGAAGCACAACCAGGATGGGAATGAAGGTTAGTCACCCTGTGCCCTTTATCAAAATAGAAGCCCCACAATGAACTCACCAATGGGAAGGGGTGCAGTACGATGGAGGGATGTTCCAGGGTAAAAAGATCAAAGGTACTGAGGGAAATTCCAGGGTGAGAGGGCAGCTGAGGCATGGTTACAAAGCCTCAACCAAAAATCCTATCTTCTACAGGCAGCCTTTCCAACCCATCTTAATTTTAATTCCTTCCCTCTATTAATTATTTCCTATTTATCTTGTATATATTTTGCTTTGTGTATATTTGTTTGCATATTATCTACTTAATTAGAGTGCAAGTTCCTTGAGGCCAGGGACTGTCTTTTGCTTCTTTTTGCATCTTCAGCATTTACCATGGTGCCTAGAACATAGTAGGTGCTTAATAAATGTATATTGATTGATTGATTGAAAGAAGTCGAGTCAAGAGAAGAGTGAAGGAAGAGAAGGCAAATGTGATTCCTGAACAACTCTTGGTGATATCTGAGATAAATAGGAATATGATGTATGAAAAATGGGAAAAGTTCCCCAGGATTAGAGATGGAAAAAAGTCCTCATTTTCAGAAAAGGCAAAGCAGATAGAATCTTCCAACCCCAGGATGATGACCTTGATGTTGCTTCCTGGCAAAATTCTCTATTGCGTTTTTGAAGAGTAGTTTCTGAGCATTTGGGAAAGGAAGAAGCAATCACTATTAGGCAGCATAAGTTCATTAAGCACCCAGACTAATGGAATATTATTGTACTTGAAGAAATAATGGATATGAGGAATTCAGAGACTTGTGGGAAGACTTGAATGAACTCATAACTAAGCAGAACCAGGAAAACAATATACCCAAGGTCTACAGTAATATAAGACAAAGAGAATAATAAACTGAATTTGATTGCTGGGTAATTATCATCGTCAGTCTGGGCCTGGAGAAGAGAAAGGAAAATGCACCATTTCCCTTTCATTGGAGAGGTGGGGAACTAAAGGTGAATATCTTGCACACTGTCAGACATACATCTAATTTGGTTTTGGCACAAGGGAAGGCTCTTGGTGGACGAATATCCAGAGATGACTGTGATATAAGAAAAAAGAAGATATTAATAAACTTTAAAATAAACACATTTAATTAATCTTAAGAAAGGAGAAAATGGGTGACAAAGCATTCATTTATTAAGTGTTTAGTACGCTCCAGTTGCACTGTGTTTACAAATATAAAGAAGCAAGATAGTCTCTGATCTCAAGGAACTTCCTAATGGGGGAAGACAATGGAAGTGGCGTGTGGTAGGATGATTGGATTTAGAAGGCAATTCATTGATAAATTCTTTTCAGGAATGGCATAGTTATTTTGATTACTTAGAGCTAGAGGTGAGAAGGTATGTGAGTGTGTGTGTGTGAGTGTGTGTGTGTGTGTGTGTGTGTGTGTGTGTGTATTTGTTTCTCTCCTTCCACATACAAACCAGGTCACCAGAATTGCTGCTCCTCCCACCTCAACTACCTTTGATGTGACCCTGCATGGCTACCCAACTCAGGCCTTCACAAGCTAATTCCCCCTCCACAATAGCCAGTAGTAAAAAAAAAAAATTACTTTTCAAAATATCATTTTGGGAAGTGGGAAGTAGATCATGGATATGGGAAAAGGGATTGCAATCCCTATTTTACCTTAGGAGAAAATGAGTCCTAAAACAATTTTGTTACTTGCCTGGGATCACCTAGCAAGTCTCCAGAAGAATAAAGACTAGATTACAGTGGTGCTGATTCCAGTGAAGTTAACATTTTCCCTAAAGAAACAAGGAAAGATAACATTGGAAAAAAAGGGATAAAGATCAACAATGATAAATCTCTCTATTCTGGGCCAAATTTAAGCAAGTTTTAAATAATGCAGTTGGCATTGGAGGCATTGGAGTCTCCAGGGAGAATTAATAATAGATGAGCCCATCTCTCCCCATCTGAGGAACTGCAGGGGACTTGTTCTGTTGAGAGAGAAAGCCTGTCTGGCATTAGGATCAGCATATTTGGAGGGGACTGGGGCTGTGGCTGGCAAGCACTGGTGTGAGGGAAGGGGTATGGGGAGCAGCTGGTGGAGAGATTAGGATGGCATCATAGAATGGAGGCATCGTGTCACAACCAATGGCTGTTGAACCACCTCTAATCAGGCATTCACTTAATCATGTGACTTCAAGCCAGAGGTCTAAGAGAAAGTGGACCATGAACAAAAGGAATGGACATGTATCTTGCCTCTTTTAGGGAATATGAATCCCCTGAGGGCAGGAACTATGCCCTATATAACTGTATCATGTACAGTGTTCTGCACATTCTAAAGTGAAGAGCAAGGACATTATCTACCCCAGGCCTGGACCCGTAATCCTATACCTCACAGAGACTCCAGGCCACTGTCCCTGAGACTCTAGTCAGAATAAAGTCTGAATGAGATGGATGATACAGGATGGATTATATATTATGTTGGGAGGCTGAATTCAAGGCTGCTAAACCTCTAGTTTCACAGAGTGCTTTAAGCTGACTCCCCCTCCTTGCTCTTATCTTTGAGAATAGGAGAGCAAAGACTCTTGCCCCATTTGAGAAGAATTGGAAAGAGGAGTTTAGAGCCAAGGGCTCAGTGAATTTTCCTCTGATCTCAGGCAGGACCGCTGGGACATGTTCTTTGGGTCCAGTGGCAGAGAAGCAACCCATAAATTCCAAGTGCTGCTGTAAGGGAGGGGACCCCTTCATCCAGAGGGACCCAGAGGGATTGAAGCTGCTGGCTAATTGGGTTAATTGAGGAGCACTTGAGGGAGATAGTGTCCTTCAGACATAACACTTGGAGTGCATATTACTCTTCTCCACCTTGGGAATTTTATGAGAGAAGCTTAGGGCAGCAGGGAGGGGTAATGAGCTCAGAGGAGAGGAAGGACAGAGCATGAGCCTATATGGAGGTCCCACTCTTGGGAACCCCAAATTTTTTATAGTAAATAATTATTCTGCTCTGCATCTAAAGTCTTGGGCTGAGCTGATTGGACAGGAGGCTGGGGCTAATAATGTCAATGGGAAAAACAGTGGGAGTGTGGTACTGACAAGGAAACCACATTAGTGAGCTATAGGCAAGGGAGTAGAGTGGAAAAGATATTGGCTTTGAATTCAGTGGACCTGGGTTCAAATCCTACTGGTGTCATCTTGGACACATCACTTCTAGATTTCAGCTTCCTCATCTGTCAAATGAACAAAATGGTTGAACAAATTGACCTCTGAGGTTCTTTTAATTCTAGAGCTATAACCCAACGAACATTTGGGTAGCTTCTGTAAGAACAACTGATTCAGACAGTCCCTCTCAGATGTATCAGGGATTAGGGGTAGAGTGCCAAAGTTGATCATTAATTAGGAGGATCCTTGCTTAGACTATCTATGGGGAGTAGATTGGGGACAGGGGGGGTGTTCCCATTTCTTGGTTGTGTTCCCTCTCTGTCATATTGAACCCAATCCTGTTTTAATGCTCAGGAGGTAGATCTACTACCTCTCTGCCTCCTCTTCTTTACAGAGCTTTATGCCAAGTTCAGGCAGTGATCCCCTTCTCCTCCCTTCTCTCCCTTTTCCTTTACTCATTCCTTTTCCTCCTCCATTTCTGGCTCGCTCTCATTTCTCTCCTCTTTCCCCTTTTCTTTCACCACCTTCTCTTCTTCCTCTTTTACTTTATCCTCCTCCTCTTCTCCTTTCATCTTCATTGTATCAGTATGGACCGTCTGTGCCTCTCAGGTAGGATAACTTCCCAGAGGTGTCTGGCCAAATCACAGTGATGCTGACCCAGGAAGTAGAGTTTCTAGGTTGAGCCAGCAAGCACTTATTAAATAAGTGCCTATTAGGGAGCTTGGGGGCACATTTCTTCCCTTTCTCTTTGACAGAAAGGGGCTCAAAGTGCAGATGGCTCACTGGCATGCCCTCTGATGTAGGCCTACTCTGGGTGTTGGCACACATTTACTCATGAGAATTAGATTCCATATTCCTTTTTTTTTTTTTATGAGCAGTCAAAAACATACCCTGTGGCCTACATATTCATATAGCTCTGTGCTGGAGATTGTGGGGAGACCTGGAAGAAGGACAACCAGTGGGAAGATGGAACATACCAACACTCATGAAATGACATAAGAAGATTTAAAAGATGGCTTAGCTAGGAGAGACATGTAACACTACTCATACCACATACCGAAGAGGCAGCACAGAATAGTGGAAATAGCATGGGACCAATAATCTAGAAGCTTGGGTTCCAGTCGTCACTGTGGTACTTATGATTCTCATCTGTACATTCTGCTGGGGGAAGTCCTCACATGCTTGGAATAGACATTCCCCTAACTCATCAATGGGTTTGAGGCCTGTGGGTTACCCTCAACCTGGTTTAGCCCATCTACCGACATGGTTTTACTGAGATGTGGTCACATACTACAGGTTCTTGGAGCCATAGATGAGAGTTGGGTGAAGGTAGACACCAAAGGTGAATGAGTAGCCTTGAAAAGGGCTTGGTAAGCCCTCACACCAGAGGTACTAGTCCTCCCTGACCACCCATATACCCTTGTGACGAGGAGTGCTTATAGCTGGGTGAGACATTGAAAATGGCAAGGTCATCCACTGCATCCTGGGCCCTGTTGCTGGACTTTGATGACTCTGGAAGAGGCTGATAACTCAACTTTGCCTCACTCAATCCAAATCACTAACAAATCAAGACATCACCCCACGATGTCATTGGTCCTCTTCAAGAACAAAGAATGAACAAACAATAACATCTTATTCACTGTAGGACCTTGGGCAAATAATTTCATCTGTCTTAGTTTCTTATTAGTAAAATGAGAGTTTTGGACTAGATTAGCAGTTCTCAAAGGATATATCATAGATTCAATGTTATGTTATTACAAATAAATGAAAATTCAGAAACAATTTTGCTTAATATATATTTTACTTACCCAGAATACACAGTATGGTAGGTATAATTATAAAATAAACAATATGTGTCCATTACATATGTAGTAGGGAGGTGGATTGGAACACTTCCCATTGAGCTCAACCCCTTCCAGTAAGATGTGCTCTGGCTCCTTGCTAAAGGACATGTGTGCCTAGAGGTGACTGGTCATTTGGTCTTCCTGATGGAGCCAGCTCTTTCTGGATCAGTGAAAAGTATGTCAATCCAATTTTCTGCCTATCCATGAATAGACTGAAATTTATAACACATTGGGCCTTGAACTAGCAAGTTTCCTAAGTAGTGTTATCAGCTTAGATGCATACGTTGCTGTGATTCTTCATGGTGAAGAATACTGGGACATGAGCAAAAACAGAGTTTAAGAACCATTGAATTAGATGATCTCAAAGGATCTGTGTAAACTCCCAATGGATCCATGGATAGACTTCAGGAGTCTATGAACTTGAATAGAAAATACACACACACACACACACACACACACACACACACATACATACATATGTACAACCCTGCCCCTCCCCACATATATACATACATACATACACACACAACTCTGTAATTATGGCTGCCATCTTGAGTTCATGATGCTGTTCCCTTCCTACTTCCTAATAGATTTTTTTCTTTTACTTCATAACTAACTTCTCTCTATTTTTTTAAGGAACAGTCTCTGTTCTTCAGAGTCATTAGCAACACCAGGGACTTATTTCCCCTTCTTTTTCCAAGGTAAATTTTTTTTTTTTTGCCAGGGAGACAGCGGGAGCCCAGGACAAGATACAGAGTGTTTTTGGGTTACCTGGTCCACCAAAGTTAACTCCAGCAAGGTGTAGGGAGTGACCAGGGAGAAGTCCCAAGGACAGAGAAAGTGAGGAGCAGCTGAAAGGGCTTTGAATGAGTAGAAACAGCTGTGTACTAAGAGAACAGCAGCAGGGAGATCTTTATTGATGTGAATTATCCCATGAGCTATATAAGAGAATGTGTGATGCTGGTAATTAGTGGAATAGGTGTGGTTGGGAGCTGGCCTCTGGGTGTTTTTATTTTTTTTAATAAATTTTTTATTGCTATCTTTTATTTTTACATCATCTGTCTTTCTCGATGTATTCTCCACTTCCTCCCCACAGCCATCTTTTACGACAAAGAATCCAAAAGAAGGAAAAAAACAGCTCAGCAAAACCAACCAACAAACACATTGAGAAAATCTGATATTCTATACCATTATTCTAAGGCACCTCCCACACTTAGGTGTTTGTGATAGAGTAAGGAAAATAAAAAGTGGATGGAGTGTTTGCTCTAATAGAAGGTAAGCTCATTGAGGGTAAGAATTGTTTCGTTTTTGTGTTTGTAGCCTCAGTGCACTAGCACTTTCAAACATTTAAAATTTTAATTAACTTTTAAAAAATTTTTGTAAAAACTTTTACAAAGGGATATTTACTGTAAAGATATAGCAAGAACAGAAGTATGAACATTTCCTCCCTTCATCTGGGGGCACACTCTTCCCTATATTGCCTCCTGCCCTGGGGAGAGTGGGCTCAGACTTAACACAGTATTTATAGAGCTATATCTCCATCAAGTTCACTTCCAAATGTGGCATAATTGACGGATGGTGAGCTCGAATCTCTGCTACTGCTGGACTGGGATGTTTAGGTCATTTAAGACTTTGCTAGTTAATATCTGGCTTTTCCATAAGAGCCTTCCTTTATCAGAATGGATGAAATTTCTTTCTATTCCATAGAGAAACTTCCGGCATGGATTCTACTCCTGGACTTCTGCTGGCTTGCTCTTCTGTCCTTTCAAAGCTTCTAATGTTATAGTTATCTCGAAACTGAACTTAAAGCAAGAAATAAGAGGTGTAATAATAACAGAAGTAACAATAGGGCCATATGATCTTGGCTTCATGCTCTCTCTCCTCTGCTTTGGCTACTAACTTCTCTGACTTCCTTTAAATAACAACTAAAAAACTCACCTTCTCCAGGAAGCCTTCCCCAACCCCTCTTAATTTCAATGCTTTCCCTCCTTTAATTATTTCCTATGTATCCTGTGTATAACTTGCTTTGTGTATATCTGTTTGCATGTTGTCTCCCCCATTAGATTGTAAGCTCCTTGAGGGCAGGGACTGTCTTTTGCTTCTTATTATATCCTCAGCACTTAGCATAGTGCCTGGCACATAGTAGGCCCTTAACAAATGTTGATTGATTGAGAGATGACTTGAGGCTCTTCCCCCAAAGAACTTGAGGTCCTTGTCAGCATATCCTCCTACACCACCAGTTAGGTTTAGAATTTCTGAGTTGACGATGTGGGAGTGCAGGTAGGAGCCAAGGAAGTATAGCTCAGTCTTCTTGTATGAGGAAGAGTGATTGGATGGTGAGTAGGTGAGGGTGCAGCCAATGTGGACCCCACCACTTTGGCAGCCCCTAAAGGAGAGGGCTTTTACCTGACTTTTGTGGGAGCTCCTAAGGCTGGCAGAGGCTAGCCTTGAGCCCTGACTCTGTGCGACTCTGGTCCAGGATCTAGCTACCTATTCTGATCAATACTAGCATTTAACAGACTGTAGCAACAGGTCCCTGGCAGATGTAGATATCTGATTAACTCAGTTCTGAATCCCCAGTGGTCTCTTCAGACAAAAAGACATTGTTGGTGAGAAGCCAATGGACCCAGAGTCTGTTTATGAGTGTAATTAGTGGCAAGTGGAAGTGCTTTTGAGTATGTCTGCAGGCTGATGTCAGTAACAGTGGCTAGGGGGGGTAGTTGTTGGCTGGATAGCTGTTATGGGCACAGCATCATTTTAGGCTTAGAAGCACTATGCCAGATATGCTTCTGTCCTGAAGGCACCATTTGCCCAAGTCCTAAGAGACCACCACAATATTCACTCCATTCTGGCCTTACACATCCTGTGGTCACTTACATAGGCCTCTGCCATCTATGTCTCAATACTGGGCAGTTGGAGTGAAATAAGTAGATTAATTTTGCAGTGAAGGCTGGAGCAAAAAGTGATAATGGAGCTGGAGACCCAACCTTCATTTGTCCTGAGAAAGGAACCTGTGGTTAGAGGGCTTTAAGGTCTGTCTCTTTTGAAATAGTTTTGTATAGCTATACACATTGTGGCTGTGTTTTGACCTTCGTTCTCAAAGAGCACCATGACGTCAGGGAGATGATGACATGACTAGTAATTGATTTTGATTTGAATGAGGGAGGGCTGTGCAAGGTCACCTTTCTCCTCCAGAGCCATCTGGGTCCAGTGGCCAGACATAGATCAGGACAATTGGAGATGGCTTAGGATGCAATGGGGGACCTTGGCCATTTTAAGCTAAGGTCTTTTCAGTTACACACATCTAGGATGGCTAGGTGGTGAAGTGGATAGAGTACCATGCCCGAAGTCAGGAAGACTTAGTCTCCCGAGTTCAAATCTGGCTTCAGATACTTACTAGCTGCATGACTCTGGGCAGGTCACTTAACCCTGTTTGCCTCAGTTTCCTCATCTTTAAAATTAACTGGAGAAGGAAATGGCAAACCACTCTAATATCTTTGCCAAGAAAACCCCCAAATGGGTTCTCAAAGAATTAGACACAACTGAAAGATGATTGAATAACAATAGCTACACACACATAGTTTTAAATTTACTCGTCTATATGCTCGTTGGTACTCCCTAGTAGCATATCAGCTCCTTGAAGGCAGGGACTTTCATGGCTTTTGTCTTTGTTTCTCTAGAACTAATGTTTGGCACATAGAAAGCTCTAAAATATGCTATTTTATCCATCCATCCATTTATCTTTTCATTCATTTGGTGAAGATGGGTACTGTTATGGTTTTAGTGTTTTCCCCCAGCACGGGTAGGGAACCTGCAGCCTCAAGGCCACATGTGGCTCTCTAGGTCCTCAAGTGCAGCTCTTTGACTGAATCCAAGTTTTACAGAACAAATCTGCTCCTATTGCCTAGCACATTACCTGGCATACAGTAGGTAGTCAATAAGTGGTTGTTGAACTGAAATGAAAGAACCAAGAGTAAGATTAGGACAAGTTTTATGGGTCAGGAAACTAGATGGGTGACTATGATTTGAGGGGCACCTGGAAGGCTTACCCTGCTCCAAAAGGTTTATCATACCCAGATGCCCTAATAACTGAAATTGTACATTAGAGATTCTTTCCTTTGGGTTAAGCTTCACCCTCTTTCTTAAACGGAAATATCCCTAAGAGAGATGCCACAACGATACTTTAAAGGAGTCATTCAGATCTTTTTGTTCTGTGACCAGAGGGACCAGGGCAGCTGGAAGAGCTCTAAACCCATGGGAAAGAGCAGAGAAAGAATAAATTGAGTTCTCCAAGAGAAACCTTGCCTGCTTTAAAGTATAGTCTAGAGCTGAAACTGGAAGTGAGCTCCAGGCTAGGGGACATCTGGTTTCCAAATGCCAGAGGTAGTAGGGGTTGAATGTTGTCCAAATTGGCCTCTTAGGCCAAGAGGAGGGGATGGGGCAATCGCCTCCTGCCTCCCTTGTGATTGAGTTTTCCTATGTGTGATCATTTAATGTTTTTTCTTTGGGCTTTCCACAAGTTTTCCTCATCTCTAGCTAAATACGAGAGGGACCCTTGGGTAGGAGTTTGCTCAATCCCCTGTATAGGGCTGTACAGAAAAAATGGAAGGGAAGGGAGAGTTTGCTAGGCTAAATTGTCAGGCCTGGTCATTGGTATTTTTTATATGGTTGTAACACTGACTACCATGGCTGTTAGTGCCTGGAAGGTCAGGTGAGTTAAATTTCATCTCTCCCCCAGGATTCTTCTGTACCCTAAAGGGGGATTGGGCATTTCTAGGCTCTCTTCAGATGTCTGCAGTCACCACCTATGGAGTTCCCTCAAGAACAGAAGGACTCTGTTGTACCCCAGCTCCATTTAACCACTGATAGTCAGATTTGCCTTTCCAAAGAAATATTGACTTCAAAGGCAGAAAACAAATACTGAACAAGTTAGTTCATTTCTCATAAAGCACACTGTCTCAGTTCCAAATCTAACTCCTCCCCACATTGGGCTCAAGTCCTAGGCACCTTGGCTTCTCAGAACTTACCTGCCAGGCAGGTTGGCTTCAACATCCTGCCCGCAATCCTGATGTCAAGGTCACCCTAGTTTAAATTCCCTGGTCTGGGGGTCCAGTGGGGACACTCCCCGGTCCCTGAAACTGAGGACAAATGAAACAAAACAAGACAAACACTCCCAGCCACAGGTGTCTAAAGGAGGGGGTGGTGGAGGTAGCATTTCCTTTTTCCTTCCTTTTACTTTATGGCACCTGTGATCATCACCCTTGGTGAAGAACAGAGACAGAGCAGAAAGGAGCAGCAGAAAACAAAAAAAGCATCCATCTTAGTCTTGCCAGTTTTAAAGCCTTTTTCAGTTATGCAGTCAATCAAAGGAGACTACCCTCACCCATGTGGTAAGGAGATATTGGTAGCTTCCATATTAGACAATCTGGGCATGCCCACAGCAAGCCCCCTTAGGGGGATCCTCTGCGTTCCCCCCTCTGAACATGTTCCAGTAACCCCATTATGTGGTATTCTATGAGACCTGGAACCTAAGGATTGCCCTGTTCAGTAATTCAATGAACCTCTGCCCTATTTTATTGTTAATAACAATCAAATTATATCATTATTAATTAATATCAATTTATTATTAATAATAACTGGAACTTATATAGAAACTTACAATTACAAGATGCTTTGTTTACATTCATTAGGTCACTGGATCTTCACAACAACTTGATGTGAAGATTAGAAGTGAAGTGATTTTTCCGAGGTCACATGCCAAGTAAGAGAGGTAACTTGAGTTCAAGCCTCCTAGTCTAGTGCTGTTTCCAGCAAAATTAGTTGCCTTTCTCCTCCCTGCCTCCTCTCTCCCTCTCTCTTCTCTCCTATCTCTCTCCTTTCTGGAGTTGCGATTTTGGTGTTAGGAACTGAGTGTAGAAACTTCCTCACCAAGGCAGATCTAGAAATACCTTAGAGTCTTGTCAAGTGTTGCTTGAGGTAGGAGGTGGGGAACTAGGGACTGAGAAGTTAAATAATTTGCAAGTGGTCACATATTTCAAATATGTCAGCACCAGGACTTGAAATCCTGTTTTCTTGACTCTAAAGGTTGACCATCCATCCGCTAGGCAACACAATCTCTTTTATATACACTCTGAACGATAGCATCCTTGGGACCAGAGTATCTGAGTCCTCTATTGCATTTCTCCCTAGCTCACATTCATCACATTTAGGCTTTGATTCGGCCTCTTTCCCTAATCTCCTTCTCCTACCCTGCCACTACTCACTTGCCCTCCTCAGTGCTGAGCTTTTAGAACCAGGAGCTGAGTGATTTGTGAGAAGCCAAAGGGCCCAGCTGAGAGTGAATGACACCCGCAGGCTCTGCTTGTGGCTTTCGAAGGATGGATGGGTCTCTGATATTGGCCTCACAGGTAATGAACAGCCAGGGCCATTGTGTGAATTGCTCCCTTATCTCACTCTGGCAAGGGTTCCCTCTTCCTCTTCTTGAAAAATGGGCAGCTAGCCCATCTGGAAGCAGTGACCGCTTTTTCACAAGAGCCTCCCTTCATCAGGATTGATGGATGGAATTTCATTCTCTTCCAAAGAGCAACTTTATGCAGTGAGCTCCTCTTTCCTGAGCCTTTCCCTCTTCTATTTGCTTTGGATTTTCCACAGAATGGGTACAAGGATGTGAAAGATGCTGGAAACAGGGGGAGTAAGGTGGAATGAGCTGTGGATGAGAAGTTAGGTGCTCAGGCTAAGATGAGATGGAGTAGGGAAGGATGTACTTTTTCTACACTTATGATATGGAGAATAAATGTGGTGGTGGAAAGAATTTAGGCCTTGAAGTCAGGAAGACCTAGGTACAAATGCTGACTCTTAGCCATGTAAATTGAGGTAAGTCACTTAAACCTTGTAGTACTTCAGACCTCAGACTATAAGTAATAGATGAGTTGTTCATCTGCATTGGTAGATGGAACTTCCACACTAGGAGTTCCCTACATCCTTGAAATTACAGGTCTGGTTCTCACTCTCCACCCCACCTTCCCAAATCAATGAGGGGGGCAATGCCTAGTTTATGCCTCTCAATCTGCTCATAGACATAGGAATACAGTTCCAGTCCCAGAAGATTGATACTCAATTTTCCGATTCTTTATCTAATTTTACCTCTGAAAATCTGTATAGCCTTTGCAGAGTCACTGAAACTTTCAGGACTTCAGGTTCATTTAATCTGTAAAATGAAAAACTAATAACTTGATTAAGAATCTTGAACAAAAATGGTTAACTAGGAGATTAAATTCAAGATAAATGATAACAAGAGGGTTTGCCCTCAATGAAATTAAGTCACCTGCTGCTGGCAATACTGTAGCATTATATTAAAATAACTTTGAAATGTGGTTTCTGAGTCACTCACTCAACTAGTATTTATTAGGAACCTACTGTAACACAGGTACTCTGCTAAGTGGTGGGTGGACATATAAAAAAAGGCAAAAGAATAGACCTTGCTTTCAAGGGTTTCATGGCAGAATGAGGGTGACAGCATGCAAACAACTATGTACAAACAAGATATACACACCTATCCGTGTGTGTGTGTGTGTGTGTGTGTGTGTGTGTGTGTGTGTGTGCGTGTGTGTGTGTGTGTGTACAGGTTAAATTGTGGATAGTCTCAGGGGAAGCATTAAGGTACAAGGAGGACTGGCTTCTTGTAGAAGGTGAGCATTGAAGGAAAGTAGGAGGCAGAGAAAAGGAGAGAGAGAATTCCGATATGGGGTCAGGGCAACCAGTGAAAATGCTTTGATTGGGGAGATGGAATGTCTTGTTTGAGAAACACCATGGAGGTCAGTGTCATTAGATCAAAAAGTAGATGGTGGATGCAAGGTGTAAGGAGACTGAAAAGGTAGAAAGGGGCCAGGTTATGAAAGTCTTGAAAAGTCAAATGGGGCCTCATTTTTGATCCTGGAGATGACAAGGAGCCACTGGAGTTTATTGAATAGGGAGATAACATGGCCAGATCTGAATTTTAGGAAGATCAATTTGAGAGCTGAGTGGAGGATGAACTGAAGTGGGAAGAGACATGTCAAAGAGACCAATCAGGCGGTTGCAATAGTCCAGGCACAAGATGGTGAAGGCCTGCATCAGGATGGTGACACTGTCAGAGGGGAGAAGCAGGCATATTCAAGAGATGTTAGGAAGGTAAAATGAACAAGACGACCACTGGTTGGATATGTGAGGTCAGAATTGAGAAGAATTGAGACTGATACCTAGGTTGTGAGCCTGGATGACTGGGAGGCTAGTGGTACCCTCAACAGTATTATGGAAGTTCAGAAAAGGAGAGGGCTTGGGGGCAAACACAATAAATTCAGTTTTAGATATATTGAGTTTCAGGTGTCTATAGGACTTCCAGTTTGAGATATTCGTTAGGCGGTTGGAGATGCAAATCTGAAGGTTAAAAGAAAGCTTAGGGCTGGACAAATAGATCTGAGAGTCATTTACATAGAGATGATATTTGAAACCAGGGTTGCTGATAAGATCATTCAATGAAATAGTATAGAGGGAGAAGAAAAGAGAACCTAGGTCAGAGCCTTGGGGGACACCCACAGTTAGTGGGCATGACATGGATGAAGATCCAGCAAAAGAGGCAAAGGAGTGGCCAGATGGATAAGAGGAGAATCAAGAGGAGAATCAAGAGCTATTAAAACCTGGAGAGAATAAAGTATCAAGGAGAAGAGAGTTCTGACGGTATCAAAGACATCAGAGAGGTCAAGAAGGATAAGGACTGAGAAAAGACCATTAGATTAGGTGATTAAGAAATCATTGGCTACTAGTGAAAGCAGTTTAAAGTGAATGATGAAGTCTGAAATGAGATTGTAGAGACTTTAGAAGAGAGTGAGAAGAAAGGAAGTAGAGGCATCTATTGTGGACTGATTTTTCAAAGAGTTTAGTCTCAAAAGGAAGGAAAGATATGAGACAATAGCTACTGGGGTTGGCCGGCTCAAGTGAGGATTTTTTGAGGATAGGGAAGATATGAACATGATTGCAGGTAGTAGGGAAGCAGCTAGTAGACAGAAAAAGTTTGAAGTGAGAGAGGAGACATGATAGAGGAGGTGATCTGCTGGAGAAGACAGGATGGAATGGAATCACTTTGCATAGAGAGGTTTACTTTGTCAAGGAGAAGGGCTGTCTCTTCATTTGAAACTGGGTGAAGGAGGAGATAGTGGCAGAAGGCACCAGAACGATGTAAGATGAGGAACAGGGAAGAAGAAAGAAGTTTCTGCAAATTGCCTTGGTATTTTCAGTGAAATACATGGCAAGATTTTCAGCTGAAAAGGTTGGTATAGGGGGAGATAGAGGAAGTTTGAGAAAGGATGAAAGGTTTGGAGGGAAGAAAACAAGTATTTTTAAAATACCTACTATGTGCTGGACACTATACTAAGTGCTTTACAAGTATTATCTCCTTTGATCCTCACAACAGCCCTGGGATATAGGTACTATTATTATTCTCATTTAAAAATTGAGGAAACTGGGGCAGACAGAGGTTAAGTGACTAGATGATGGTCACACAGTTAGTAGGTCTGAGGCCAGACTTGAATTCAGGTCTTCCTGATTCCAGGCCCAATGCTTTATCCATTGTGTTACCTAACTTCTTCAAGTCACTATGGTAAGTGGGAAAATAAATATGAACGTGTAAAAAATTGCCTTGCTGCAGTGAGGGCACAATTATATATATATAACAAACTTGTAGTAGACCCAGTCAGCATAATTTAGTGATTTTATTTCAGTTTCATTCAGCAGCATATGAGTAGGAAGGAAGGCAGTTGATGGCAGAAATAATCCAAGGCTGAGTCTGGGCAGGGAAAGATTAATGACAATATAAGGGGGCAAGGATTTTGAGAAAAGACAGCATAGAGTTGACATGGTTTACCAAGGAGCCAAGATGGGGAAAGGAAGAGACTGTAGCCAGTGAAGAGTTGATGGTCTGAGAAAGAATGAAGGGTGGAGGGATTGGAGCTTGCTGTGTGGATGAAGAAAAAAATTGGAATTATAAGGCAGAAAAAGAGGTACAGCAATAATAGATTATGATAAGATAAAGGAATTTCAGAATTCACAAGCATGGACATGGAATACTTGTGGGTGAAGGCACCATCAAGAGTATGAAC